AGTTGACACTTGAGATGAAGAGTTTTACCATCCTTCCTTCCTTCACTTCCTTCCTGACACTTGCTTTTTTTTTTTTCCTTCACCTAAATTATTTTGCCTTGGTAAAAATAATAATAATAAAAAAATGGGGAGAGAGAGATAGAAATAGGAAAAGTAAAATAAAAATGATATTTAAAAAAAAAAAGAAAATCCACTGGGAATCATGAGAATTTTTTTTTTTTTTAATTTAAATAACAACGACAAAAAATTTTTTTTACCGGTGCCATTTTTAATTCTTTTCCACGTGAATTCTTTTTCTCTCTCTATCTGTCTCTCTCTCATTCTCTTTTCCTATATTTATTATATATATATATATATATATATATATATATATATATATATATATATATATATATTTGAAATTTTTTTTTTGTTTCCTTTTACCTAAAACATCATCTTGCACGTTTTAAAAAAAAAAAAAATAAAGGAAAATAAAGGAAAATGTAAAACAATTTTCTTAACAATAGTGAAATTTTTTTTTTTATATAACAAAAAAGCTATGAAATTGTTTTTTTATCTCTCAAACGCACCTGCCATCAAATAACAAACAGATATTTCCCAAAAAAAAAAGAAAAAGAAAACTCACAGCATCCGACAGCATTGATTTAAAAAAAAAAAAAACTTTTTTTAGTATAAACAGAATTATCTAGAAAAAAAAAAAAAGTTTGACGTGATCAATAATAAAGCAGAAGAAGAAAAAGAAAAGTTTTAATTAAATGTATATAAAAAATAAAAAATAAATAAACAAAAAATATGGAAAAAAAAATGAAATGAAAAGCTCATTCATTAAAATTCTTAAGTCATTAATTTTAATGGCGGTAAAAAAAAAAAATTTTTTTTTTAACTTTACTTTTTGACGTGACAGATTTCCAAAATAATAATAATAATAATAAAACCTTTTGAAGTTTTTTTTATTAAAAAAAAAAGAAAAAAAAAACCTTTAAGGTACCAAAAAAACGAGGGATAGATTCGAAAACAAACCTTTTTCTTTCAAATTAATAATTTAATAACGTTAATGGATCATTTTCCTTTTTTTCTTTCCTTTTTTCTTTTTTTTTATTACCTTTTCATTTGAATTCATTAACAAAAAAAAAAAATTTAAAAGAGAGAAAGAGAAAAACCGTTATAAAAATGGCGACGTAAATTCAAAATAAATTTTCCCGTGCGCGTTATTATTATAAATGACGTCACGCATCCACGTTTCCGTCGTGTGACGTAAACGTTTCGATTTTTTAATTAGAAAAAAAAAGAATCGTTTTAAACTTTTGACCTTTTAATAAAATGTTAACCGTATGATTTGCGAGAAAATAAAAAAAAGCGAAAAGTTTTTAACGTTTTCCGATCGACAACTTAGAAAAAAAAAAAATCATAAATCATTTTAAAAAATTAATAAAAAAAAAAATAAACCAAAATGGTGGATGGTATTAAAATGGTGGATGGTATTAAAATGGCTGCCTCTTTTCGGTTCGTTGGTTGGTTGGTTGGTTGGTATTGTCCTTTTTTTTTTTTTATTTAATAATTTAAAAAGTCTTTAATAACACTCGCTACAGTTTTTAGCAGAAGAAAAACTTTTCTTTCTTTTTTTTTTTTTATTCATTTTAATTATAAAGTTTAAAATAAATTTTCTTTTTTTTAATAATAATCAATTTAAAAAAAAATTTTTTCTTTTTTTTCTCTTTACAATATTTTGTCGAACGAGTCGACCGATTGTTTTTATACAAAAGTTTTTCTTTTTTTTTTCTACAAAAAAAATTAAATAAAAAATAAGCTTAAAAGAAAATAAAAAAGAAAGAAAAGTTTTTAAAAAAAAAAAAACTTTTCTTTTTTTTTTTTTTTTAAAAAAAGAAAATTGTCGTCGGTTGGAACAAATGCGTTCGTCGTTTCCTGTCAAGATTTTTTTTTTTTTTTTAAATAACAACCGCAACAAAAACAACAACAACAACAGCTAAAATTATCCGGATGTTACCAAACGTTTTTATTAATAATAATAATAATAATTGTTTGATTTTTCTCAAGGTCATCGTGAATTTAACAAAGGACGACGCTCGTGTAAAAAATAAAAGAAACTAAGAATTCTATATTAGTCAAATCGTTCCAGTATTCTGCTGGAAATAACAAAAAAATTGCCTTTCACATTTACATTATCATCTCCCTATCCCTCTCTCTCTTTCTTTCTCTTTCTCTTCCTTCCTTTTTTATCTTCATCATTTTTAACTTATTTTTTTTTTCTCATGTGAGTGACTTTTTAAACCACTTTTTTCTTTACCCACAGGGATCAACAACATAAATGCCACTTAATAGATAAATCACTTATCAGAGAAATCTTAACGGTTGTCTTTCTTAATTTCTTTCTTTTCTTTTATCCTTTTTCCACATGACGTACACGTGCTCTCACACTCTATATTCAATGACAAATTGAGCGAAACGAATGAGAGAAAGAGAGAGAGAGAGAGAGATAAGTTAAGAATATGATTTGAAAAAAAAAAAAAAATTCATGCAAAAATACCCCATTATGTCAAAAGATTAATATCATTTGTTATCACTGCCAAAATGTGGTTTTTTCTTTTCCTCTTCCTCCTCTTCCTCTTTCTCTTCCTCTTTTTCTATCTTTTCTTTCTTTTTTTTTACGACATAGATTAAGGGTGGATTTTTAAAACAAAAAAGGGTTTATGATTAGATTTAAGAATTCAAAATGCCTAAAAACTTTTTAAAATTTGTCAAAAGGTAATCGCGGCATTAAAAAAGAATTACGTGAGGATTTATACGTTTTTATATTATACGCGACGACGACGACGAGAATGATGATGATGATGCGGTAAAAGTCGGGGAGGGAGGAGGAGAGAGTCGGTTAAAAAAAGGGCTTCAAAACTTTTAAAAATGATAATGATGATAATGATTATTAGCGAAATCAAATTTTGACTTTTAATTTTTTCGTCGGGGAAAACGCAGTAACAACAACAACAAAAAATTACATTTTCCGCCATTTTATTATTATTATTATTATTTCCCCCCTTCCCCCGCCAAGTAAATTAAAAAATAATAATAATAATAATCATTGAGTTAATAAATTATAAAAATCAAAAATTAAATCCGTAAAAAAAAAGAAAGAAAGTAAAATCTCTTGAGTAAATTATTAGCTTTTAAAACGTTCAAACAAAATTTTAGGGGAGGGAGGGAAGAAAAAGAGGGAGAGAGATAGAGAGAGAAAGAGAAAAAGGTTGATTTTCTGTCACAATGAAATTTAAAATTTTTACTATAATTTAAAGTTTTTTTTTTTTTGTTTAAGAAAAACAATCCATCCGCGATTTTTATTTCAAAATTTTTTCAACCCTTTTTTTTATGGGGAGCTTAAAATATTTTTACATTCAAACTAAAACATGCATTAAAAAGATTAATGATTTGGATTTTCCATGGAAAAGAAAGAAAGAAAGAAAGAAAAAGAAGTAAGAATGAAAAATTTTCTTCTTTTTTTTTCATATTATTGTAAACAGTTTTCTCGGTTGAATTATCTCTTTCATTTTCCAAAAAAAAAAAAAAAGAAAAAGGTGAAAGAAGAAGAAGAATATGAGCTCAGGTGCAAATGTTACTTTCTTTTATAAAATTATCCCTCTTTTTTCCTTTTTTTTCCCTTCCTTTTTTCCCTCCTTCTTTTTTTTTTGTCTAAAACCTTCGCTTAGAAAAGAATGAGAAGAAATTTAAGTAAGAATACGAAAAAAAAAAAACGAAATCCAGGTGATAAAGGTGTTAAGGTAAAAGAGGAAAAGAAAAAAATAATAATTTTTTTCACTCTCCAAACCTTTCTCTCTTTCTCTCTCTCTTTTTCTAACTGTAATAATTTCTAAAAAACCTTTAAATTAAATTTTCTTTTCTTTATTTTTTTTTGTGAGTAAAATGAAAATTCATTTAATTATATCAATTTAATGGTCGACGAAAATTTAAATAATTTATATACGATTTAAATATCTAATTTGTACCTTCGACCTCTCGACCCCACTATTCTACCACCCCTCCCA